TCCCTTTTCGGGTTCTTGCTTTTTATCCTTAATTGCTTACCATTTTAATTATAGTCTCCTGTAGGGCCAACATTTTGAATTCAGCGTCCACGTGAAATCTAATCAATATTTTAAACTATAACGTACCTTTTTTTTCTTTTCAAAAAAAAAATTTTCTTAATTTTTTTAACAGGCAAAGGAACCTAGTCTGGAATCCGAAAGTCTTCCCTTTCTTTCTTTCTTTTTTTTTTTTAAATAAAAAAATAAAAAAAACATATTGTTAAAGTCCTTTTTTTATTATTAATTTGAAAGTCGACTCCAATAGCAAATTAATAAAGAAACCACAAAGGAAAGGAATAAGAAAGCATAAAGGTGAACAAAGTCCTATACGCCTAAATATTTTTATTAAAAAAGATCACCTAAGCGCTTTGGTTGGATGTAAAAAATAACTGAAGTAAAAATTTTTTCAATATCTGTAAATTAACGTTTGTTTTGAAAATGAAATATTTCACTATGAAGTGTGACTAAAGTATCTTTATTTTACTTTCCTCCAATTTACTTTCCGTAAGAGAGAAAAATAAACATAAAGGTGTTAATTTAAATAAAATAAATTTACTCACGCGCTGTACAAAGAAAAAAAATGCAAATAAGGAAGTAAATTGGATAGTACCCTTTTACTTCCACGTTTTACCATTTTTCCTCTCTATCCAACAAAGCCTTATCAAATTTCAAAATAGTAATCTCCACAAGGAAGAAAAAAAAAATGGGCAACATGCTATGCTAGCAGTTTAAATATTGTTTTTGAAAAATCATTTCAAAGTCGGGAACTTTCTTCTGCTTTCCCACATCAATTTGTTTGGTTTTTTTAGCTACTAAATTTCCTTCGTCTGTTGGTAAGCAGAAGCCCGCCATGTGAGAAGTTTAAATGGGATTGCCGGGCGGTGGATTTGCCACCAATCTTTCCCTTTTTACTTGTTTTTACCAGAACGCCGCCTGCCTTCGGCCCAGAAGTTGGAGACAATCAGACGGGCACGAGGTTCGGTCCATTCAACAGCTCATACTACACCACCTTTGCAAGTCTTAACGCTGCTACAATCAGCAAATAATGAGACTTCAGGTCACTCCCTGATTCCTTGCCCGGTAACTCCAACCCTTGCCAACCAGGTCTGGCCGGATGTTTTCTTCAATCAGTCTTTCACGCTTTGGGAAGGACAAAGGCGAAGCTGCAAGGGGTCCCCGCTTCCTTTAACACTTCCTTCCTCATGAATCCTTTCGTGTTAACACCTTCCCTCCTGTCCTGGAGAAGGCTTAGCTTTCCTGATAGCCCCAAATTGACCTCCCTCCCAACAGCAACTGGACAGTAATCTAGGTTTGACTCAACTCCGACCACCGATGGCGATTCCCTCCAATGGCATCGTCGGCCATCGAGCCTTGACACCCTTCAAGCAAGGAAGTTTCCGACCCGGAATGACAAACGCACAATGGGTCTCGACATCCATAGTGTCGCTCCATCAAAAGCGGTAACCCGCTTTCCTGACTTTTGGCAATTTCAGTATCGCTCCGGTGGGCCGCAAAAATTTACATGGTCTGGATTAATTTACCGATGGTGCCAGAAGGAAATAAAACGTTACATTGGCAGAGCAAGGAACGCCGAAACCCGCTAGGCGGGTGGAATGCGAAAATCTCGAACTCTAAAGACCCCGTCAAATCAGAAATCTTACTTTGGCTTTGCGCATCCACAGGAAGCTTCCTACGAGCCTCAACTGCCGTGCTTGCTGGAATTGACAGTTGAGCCTGCCTGCCTCTGCTAATGATAAATTGGCAGAAAGTAATGGCAAAGTAATAAAAAGGTAATTGGAATCTCTGTATGTGAGTTTGGGGTGGGTGTATTGGTAACTATTTAATGGATAGGGGGCGGGTGGGTTGATTTTATTTGCTGAGGAGAGAAGAGGCGGGCCTTGGATCCCATCATTATTAAGGAGCACTGAAGAGTCCCTGCAGGAATGCCGAGGGAATTCCGGTTAGGGATCTAAAAGAAGGCGACCAAACAATTTCGATGAGAAGAATAAACTTATCAAGGTGGGATTTTGATAGGTTGACCAATTAGGAGTTCTCTAATGAGAATGTTCCAGTGGCTTGTCCAAAAAAGTTCTCCAGAGGGCAATCTCAGAGTCAAGATTAATTTCTTGGCTGAGCTTTACCTATTATCATTAATTCGTTGCGCCATAAACATTTGGTCCGATTATAGGTAAGATTTCCTTTTGCTTTTTTTTTTTTTTTTTTTTCAGTTGGTCACATTTCTATGGCAGCATTCACACTCAAAATCCTACAGTAGTTTTTGGATATTGAACCCAGTTTTTTCCATCCTAAGTCCCAAAAAGGAATATTTGCTCTCCCTTTCTCGTTGGCCCTGTAAAGTCTTTGCTACAAACCCAAACAATTTGGAAAAGATCTCTTAAATTTAGCTTTAGTCTAATTTTTCTTCTCAAATCAAAGTAAAAACAATGAATTAAATCTATAGGGAAAAATTATTATTTTTTAGTCCCTCCGTTTTTACAATAATTATCCAATTAATCTCAAGTTTTGCGCAATATCTAATTAGTTCCTCCATGTTTAACTCTGTCTAATTAAAAAGGTCATTCCCGTCCGAAAATTGGTTTTTTTTTCCCGTTATTATAAGACCTAACAAGACTAATAACACCCTCCCTTAACTGGACGTAGACTAAATAAGGGAAAATTATTATCTAGTCCCTGCAAGGTTTTACATAATTATCTAATTAATCTCCAAAGTTTTGCGCCAATACTCTAACTAGTCTCCTCAGCATTTAAAACTCCGTCTAATTGAAAGGTCTTCCCGTCAGCAAAAGTTAGTTTTTTTTCCGTTAATTGAAGACTAAAAGACTAAAACAGCTCCTCCCTAAACTGACATGGACCGCAGTATGAAGCGATAAATGATATATTAGTTTTGTTCTTCTTTTGGTTTCTTTCCATGCCCCTAATAATATTACCTAGTTTATCTTTTTTGCACAGATAACTTTGCATTAAATATTAATATTCAAGATATTCAAAGTTATGAAATTATAATTCATATAAGTGCAATAAATAATTAACTTTTTTTATCTATAAATAACTATTATTTTAGAGTCGGTGTTTTCTCGCAAATTCTTTTTTTTAGAAATATTAAAATGAATAATTAATTTTTTTTTCAATTTTATCCTTATTTATATTAATTTAATAATTATTTTTATAATTTTTTTTTCCAAAATCATATAAAATCTCCTCTCTTAAACTTAAGGTTTACGTAATAAAATTAATTAATATTTCGTTCAAATTTAGACGAATAAATTTACTACTTAAATTACCAATAAAAACATTTAAAAGTATTTATGAATAGAATGGAATACTTTGTTTTTTTTTTTTTTAAGATTTTATCAATGAATAATTGTAAAATGTTTCTTTGATAAAATTTTGCATATTTAAATATGAATAAAATAGAAAATTAATGTTTATTTACTTTTTTTTCTAAAAAGAAACTATGATGGACATTATGGGGTAAAAAGAAAAATGAGGTTAGTTTTACTTTTTTGAAAGAGGTATTTACTTTTCATGATTCACTAAATTTAATAGTAATTTTAATTAGAACATCAATTTAATTTTTTTATCGCTTTTTTTAATACTGTCCCTTTGTTCCATAATACTTTGTCAAATTTGAGAAAATAGTTTGTTCTAAAATATTTGTCTAATTTGGTCTAAAATACTTGTTATATTTGCAGTTTTAAGGAGTAATAAATATTTTTTTCACATATTTACCCTTGGGTGTATGATTAATTAATTAAATTACTTCAATTTACATGATTTTTCGTTAGAGATTAATATTAAATTAAGGGTAATATTGGTCAAATTTATTCAATATTTTTATAATTAACAAATTTAAATAATTTTTAAAAGACGAAATTCTAAATGTGACCGAAATATTATAGAAATGAAGATAGTAAATATTTTAGAGACATAAATTATATTTAATGGTTTTTCGATTTTGCAAATATTCATAACTGAAAACTAAACCGTAACATTTTTAAGAGAGAAAAATGATTAAATGTCTCCCATCGACTTTATAATGAAACTCTTCAATTTTTTATTTTTTAAAATTTAGCGAAGGCTAATTTTCCTACTGTTATTTTATATTAAGCTTAATCTATACAATTCTACATGTGCATAAAATTTAATTAGGGAAAATTATTATTAAGGTCTTTAGTTTAATCCAATTCTCCATCTTTATCGCTTCATACTGGTCCAAGGTCAGCTAGAGAAGAGGTGTTTTAGTATTTTTAATCTCAATTAAGCGAAAAAAAACTAACTTTTGTCGGACGGAAGGACCCTTTCAATTAGACGGAGTTTAACCTGAGGGACTAATGTAAAGATATTTGTGCAAAACTTGGGATTAGTTTAGATAATTAATGTAAAACCTGAAGGACTAAGAATAATAATTTTCCCTATGTTTACCACGTCAGCAAGGGAAAGGGTGGTTTTAGTCTTTTTAGTTATTAATTTAACAGAAAAAACACAACTTTTGTCGGACGGAACAGGAACCTTTTAATTAGACGAACAGAAAAAAACCAACTTTTCGGACGGAAGGACCTTTTAATTAGACGGAGTTAAACCTGAGGGACTAGTTAGATATTTGCACAAAACTTAGGATTAGTTGGATAATTATGTAAAAACGGAGGGACTAAATAATAAATTTCCCTTAATCTAAAAATAGAGTCTTTATCATACATAACATTAGGAAGCAGAGAACCTTACCACAAGCCTGAGTCTAGAGTCTATTTTCCATGCGGCAGGAAAGTTCGAAAATGAGCGAAAAAATGAAGCTAGCTAGAATCATTAATATGATTTAATGTCTCAATCTCTTTTCATGGTAGAATTACATTACATTATAATAATAATTGCAAATGATGTGTTGTGCATTTAAACCTGGCTATTATGAATATCTAAATTTGATTATAATTTTTTATTTATTGTTGTTTTAAAATTAATGATAGGATGGTGCCACAAGAATGGAGTGCTGCTTCTGGTCTATGATTACATGCCAAATGGCAGCTTGGATAAACACCTATTCAGTGGACCCGAAGAAAAAACCACTCTAGAGTGGAGAATCAGGTACAATATCATAGCTGGTCTGGCATCTGCACTGCACTATCTCCATAACGAGTATGACCAGAAAGTGGTGCATCGAGACCTCAACGCCAGCAACATCATGCTCGATTCTAACTTTAATGCTCGCCTTGGCGATTTTGGGCTGGCTCGTGTCTTGGAAACTAAGAAGACTTCGTATGCAGAGCTAGAGGGAGTAACTGGAACTATGGGCTATATTGCCCCTGAATGCTTTCATACTGGCGAGGCCACCCGTGAGTCTGATGTCTATGGTTTTGGTGCTGTGGTTCTTGAGGTGGTATGCGGGCAGCGTCCTTGCACCAAAATTGCCGGCTTCCAGTACTTGGTGGACTGGGTATGGTGGCTGCATCGGGAAGGGCGCATACTGGAGGCGGTTGACGAGAGGTTGGGCAATGACTACAATGTTGAGGAAGCCAAAAGGCTCCTGCTGCTTGGGTTGGCATGTTCCCATCCTATTGCAAGCGAGAGACCGAAAACACAAGCCATCTTTCAGATAGTATCAGGATCAGTGGCAGTTCCTCGTGTCCCGCTTTTCAAGCCGGCTTTTATTTGGCCTTCTGCAGCTGGATCAGATTCCAGCAGTAGCTAGCACCAACTTGGATGTTACAGCAGATACTACGAACATTACATCTGGTTGGACCCCTCAATGTGTTAGCCCTCGAAGCCATGCCGAGGGACTCACAGACAGTTCTTTTGTCTAGCCAAATCAATTCCTTCCTTTCCATTTATTCCTAATTTGTTTTATCTTTATCTAATTCTTTGGTAAGATGAGGACATCGTCTGACATTTCCGTCCTAGCTTGCTATTCGGTTCCTTTTTAAGATTTTATGGATTGTTGGAGGTGGTTTGTGCAAGTGTACATTTGGATCAAGAGAATTGTATACATTTTTTGCGTTTCGTAATTTATTTTACTGTATTGAAGAAACAAAAGCTCCTGCTGAAAAATGTTCATTTTATGTGGAAAGAGAAAAATACAAAGAAATGGATATTGGATCTCCTGAACTGATTAAAGAAAAGAGAGGCATTTGTGAAGTTGTTGCGAAGCATAGTAATTGCAAGATATAGCGTTAAAATTATAGCTTTTCACTCGTCTGAAAATCAAGACTTGAAGCACTTTCTTGCTGCTAATATTCCAGCCATGACATGAGTCAGAACAATCTAGTAAAAAACGATAAACCAAAACCCCCTGGTTATACATGTACGTGTCCATTTGGATGAACCAAGTACAGCCTAATTTGAACTTGCAGGTCCATCATGCAGAAGTCATATCTTCCATTGAATGTTTTTTCTAGTTATTAGTCTACAACAAGTTATTAATCTCTCCAGTCCGCAATGCTTCGTATTAAAAGTCAGGACTGGATACGTACAAGTTCAAGAGCTTTCCCAGCATGCGATTTTGTGGATGCTCGGAGCTTTCTATAATCTTCAATGGTAAAAGGGGCATAAAGACGTGGGTTTTGAGCGTCAACAAATTCCGATGGAGTATCCACTTCTGCCTTCTTTGGTCCCAAGAGGAATGTAGCAATTGATATCCGTAGTGTTGCTTCCTTGCTTTGCACTCTATGCTTCACATTCCGGAGCCTCCCATTGCTCCATGCCTTTTGGCCATGTTATGCAGAAACAAGCATTTAGTTAATTTAACCAAACTATCACAGATTCAAATCAAAATCCAATTGGGAGAAAGAAAATGAATACCGTAGCAACATCCCCAAGATTGACGACGAGGGTGCCTGGCTCCGGATCAACGGCCACAAATGCGCCAGACTTGTCCATAACTTCGAGACCGCCAACGTTTTCATCGAGACGCGCCTAAGCGTTTTCATCATCGTGAGTATGTGAGGAACCAGTAAGAGATCTGTAGTGGGTATATGACTCCAGGGGAGCCTTAGCATCTAGGAAGCTGAAGATTTAATAACTTGTATGATTCTTAAATTTTTTTGGCAGCCCATCTCCTCGAACAGAATTAATTGCTGGCCTTAGGGAACACATACTTTCACGCAAAGTTCGTGTAAATTTGAATCGCGCAGCTCAATGAAATTATAGATTTGGCATACCTCTATGATTACCATGTCTCTGGAAATAAACAATTCAGTCAATACAGATACAAAGGGACAAAGAAACAGTACGAATTGCAATTGGAAAATAACCGCACCTTTGAATGAGGATGAAGGCTTCCAACTGAGCACTAGAAGTATGCCGATCGCCATTGGAGGAGCCCATGTCGTAGAGTCCCAACGCCATTGTAAGAGGAAGATTGGATTTGCGCGCTGTGGGCCATTGTAGCTGCTACCTGCTATAGTAATCGGTTACTCGTTTGCGCTTCTTGAATTCGATAAGGAAGTGTCTAGCAGCGAATCTAAACTACCTCGTTCAATTCCACGACAATGTAGAGGCAAGGAGATGGTTTGGTGGTTTTAGCTAGTTCGGAGGTCAGCAGCTCATTCCTCGCACGTCTTTTCTGCATATAGATGGCCAATACTGTCCGGAGAAAATCCTTGCAGATGCTATGGTTGGCGGTCCGTACTTCTCCATTCTTTATTGTGTGTTGCATTCTGAGCGAAATTTTGATACTCTGAGTCGCGTATGAATGATCACTGTGATATATAAATTTTGAGCAAAAGTTGCTCGTGATTAACTGGTACTATTTTCTCCAAACCAGATGCGATGCTTATTTAGGGTAATTTAATTTGCTTATGTAACACAAGCTAAGAGAATGTTTGTAATAGAAGCATACAAAGACCGCACAAGGCGAACAACTTTCTTGCACTGATTGTCCCTTGGACGGACAAAAAAGTAAGAAGCGATGAAGTTGAACACAGAACATCTTCTGGAAAAGAAAAACAGAACAGTCCATAACATAGTTCATACTCAGACGTCTATATCTAGATTCGTCAGCTTAAAATACTCTTCTTTCTCTTCGTTTTTTTTTTTTTTTGATTTGTGAATAAAGACTCGTGAAGCTCTTCTCCTTGCGAATCTAGCCGATTGCAATGTTTAGAAAAACGCTTGTAACTTGTTGTCATAACAGAAGAAAATCATTATACGACTCTGTACATGAGTATCGTAGAATGAAATTTATGCTTACATGATTGGCGAGGAACTAAATTTTGGAATTAGGAGGGGGGCAAAGAGAGAGAGAGAGATAAGTGTGAACATTGATTTAATTTATAAACAAAAAGATAGTAATCGATTTTTTTTAACATTTAAAGTCATTTAAAAATAATAATGTAAAACTTTAAACACCAATAAAAATTTGTGGACTGAGTCAATGTTTGTATTCATTCTGCAATTAAATAAATTCATTTTTTAAACACAATCATGAGAGAGAGAGAGAAATATTGATATATGATAGGAATTATTTTTATAGTTTAATAAGTAGTACGAGAAAGAATTCTAAAGTAAGATTGATACATTATAGATTTGTAGAGTAGAAACTTTAACCAATACAATCAAGTCCGTACATTTCTAAGATTCGTGAGAGAGAAATTTTAACTATAATAAATGAGAAGAAATTTCATTACATACATATTATAATTCAACACAAATTTTTATAATAACAGCATTAAAACTATGGTTAATTTTATAAAAAAACAAAAAACAAAAATAATTGAAGGCACTTAAATTAACTCAAACTTTCAATAATTTTTTTATTCATAATAAATTTTTTAAAAACAATAAGATAGATTGCTTTATTCAATATAATTTGAATGAAATGTTCAATATTACAAACTGGAGAACCTATAGATAATTCACAACTAACTGGTAAGACCGACGTCTATAAACACATGTGATAATAGTAAGATGAAACGCAAAGTCAAATTTCATTTTTTGAGAAGGGAACAAATTAATAAGAAATAAGAGTAAAATGGAAGTATATCTGTAATATTTATTTCACAAAAAGGAGTGGCTTCGTCATTGGTGTAGCAAGATTTAGCCCGCATAATCACATAAAAAACGATTACGGAAAGTGCTTCGTTGATGTTAGAAAGAAGGTCAAATAACCTAAATTATTTCATTTTCATTCAAAAATGTATTGGACGTAAAATTGCGACTAATATATATATAGTAGTCAATCACCATTCAGACATTACCAAAAACCTAAGTCCTTTATCGTGTTCACGGCTTCTGGAGGCTTTACTATAGGACCGTAAGAAGAGAAAGAGATTCATGAACAATCCATTGGTCAAGATACCTAACGCCAGTCGTACTGTGTTGTCATCTCCTTGTCGATTTTGAAAATGCCTAAATGTAAAAAGAAGTGCACAGAGTTTCCCTGGGAAACATAATTTAATACAAAGAAGCAAACATAAGTGTTATAACAATTACAATTGAATGACGACCATTAACTGTTCCTATCTTCAATCCTGAGCTCCTCTTGCGATCTTCTTCATAAACTTCGTCTATCCCCTCTCCTATCCATCGCTTGCTCTTGCAAATATTGCAAGTTCAGTTTTTCAAGGCGAGCTGATCTCTTTTGATGAAATGTATTTGCTCGAATTCAATTGAATAATTTGACTAACCTTTATCACTAATCCTGAACGCAATAGATAGTGAAGATTTATTGCCAAATACGATGAGAAGAAACATAGACACTTAACACCCTTGTTTAAACGATATTTTTTAAATTCTAAGATTTCATACCTTACTAAAACGTAAATGCCAATGCCGGTCCTAAATGCAATCAACTTTTTCAGTCGAGCTATCTCTTTTGATGAAATGTTTTTGCTCGCATCATTGATAATTGATCTAACTCTTGATGCATACCTGAAACGACATAGAAGTGAGATGTTATTGCCAAAACGATGAGAAGAACATAGACACTTAAACACCTTGTTTACACGATATTTTTAATTCAGATTTCATCCTTACTAAAACTAAATGCCACTGCCCCTAAAATCCAGCAAGGAAAAAGAAAACTGCTAATGAATAGAGCCACGTATATAAAAATTGCAAAGGAACCATGGATCAATTTCAAGCAACTGGTGCCAATTTAGTATCTTAACTTAATCAATTTTAACCTTAAGTAAGACATGATATGTAATAAAAATGAACACAGCAGAAACTTTTTAAACTAAGAACATACATTAGGGAATTGTACGTCTCATCCAAATTTGATTCAGCTGGTGATACGTTCACGAACATAAGCGTCTTGGCATTACCACCAAGGGAATCACTCATTAGCATTGTTAATTTATGGTTCCTATAAGGTATGTGTTGATTGCCAGAAGATAAAGCACCGATGACATCTCCAAGTGCAGAAAGAGATTTGTTGATACTTTGAGCTTCCTTAAGTTGATGACCTGAAGAGCCTGATTTCTTCACCCTTTCTGAACCAGCCAGATCCACAAAACTTAACTGCATATGGTATCAAAATTGAGTTATATTCAAAAATAGATGAAGTTATGTACTTATTCGTAAATATATGAAGCTATGTGCAAAAGTTAAAGAAATAATGTAAATGAAGCTATAACCTTAGAATAAAATACACTACGTATTTACATTCCTCTCCACATTTGTATACGTAACTATAAATATGCACCTCCACAAACAATTAAAAGAACAAGGGTGCTTTTACATTATGTTCCCTATATCAGTGTGTAGAATCATCTTATCATTTATAAACAATAGCACATCCTGGATACCTTTCCCCTTGCAACAGATTGGGTCTGAAGATTAGTACTTTCAATAATGATTGAAAGAATCAAATGAGACCTTGAACTTTCTTCATTCATTTGAGTTCCAGAAGTATGTCTCCTCTCAGAACCACTTTGAATAATATTCTGCAACTCCTCGAATGTTGAGATTGATATGACTGTTACATTTTCTACAGATACCATACCCTGAACATCAAAAATTGAGACCCATAACCTAAAATCAGTTTTAACCGAACTCAAACAAATTAAACCTAACATAAAACAAACCTTTAAAAGCCAATATTAGTAACACCTTGTGAAAAAACAATTACCTTTGAATCTTTTTTAATATCCAATTTCAAGGGCTTTACATTTTTTGGTAATAAAAGGTCCACAAGTATATCCTGGTACAGCTCCAACATATATGCCTGCGTCATTGTGTATCTCATAAGTGTTTGACCATGAAAGTGAACTCATTTACATTTCCAATAGTACTTAAAAACTTATCAAAGGAAAAGACACATTTCTTTGCTTGGGTTTTCAAATTGATGCTATAGGGTTTAACAAGGTGATAGATACAAACAGATACCATATGCCCTTGAAGAAATAGACAATACAGTCCATATCAAAAAGGTTAATAAAAATGAAATCTCATCATGCCAGTGAAGAAACTTAAGTTGACCACAATGATTCTGCATAGAAATTACATAATGAATCTGGCATTACCTTTAGCGAAAATGAGAATTTCTTGCTATCGCGCCTTAAAATTTTAAAAAGTTCTCCAGTAGCTCGCGGTGTGAGACCTGGATTATTCTCAGAGCCATATATCGTAAATGTTTTCCCAGAACCAGTTTGGCCATAAGCAAATATGCACACATTATACCCATCAACAGCAGATTGAACCAAATACTGCATCATAATTACAGAGAAGGAGGAGTTAATTGAAGAATAGCAAGCTGGCAATACGGATACCTTGTTCCAAGCTATAGAGACAATTTCATATGCCAATAAAGGGCAACATAGTGCACGAAGCATTCCACAATTTCATATGTTGGTAAGTCACAAAAATAAAACTTACTTTTGTGTCCTCAAATACATCTTCTTGTGTAGCATTGCCATCAAATACACGATCATATACATGTTGTTTTGCTCTATCATCTTTCCATGGATGTTCAACTGTAAATTCATCTGTACTTGCAATTATGTCTCTTTCCTTTTCAGCAGTCTCTTTCTCACTCAATGGCCTTAGACGACAGAAAACCCTTATCTTGCCTTTCATATCTAAAATACATTGAAGGGTGGAATATATGTTAGTTAAACTGCAAAAGGAAATATCAAGTTCAGAAGGAAAATTGATAACATAATGACAACACTATTATGGCAAGGAGCACAGGCACATGTAGCCATTTATGAAACCCCCAACTTTTTTCCTTTTAACTATATTATCTGCTCTTTCCTTTTTCTTCCCTGCTTATGCTTACTGCTAGATCTTTCTTTCAAATAGTTCTCTCCCTAAGCTGGTTATGGCATCTTTAACCCAAAAGATAGAATATATTTGAGGCACTGTCATGGTTCAAATAATAATAATAACAATAATAATAATAATAATAATAATAATTAGATATTCATATTTATTAAGAAAGAAAAGATGTGCATCAACTTTCACATTAGTTCTTGCTCCAATATGAAAGTTCCATACACATCACAAGACTCCTACCAAAAATTAAATTATTAATGGTCAAAATAATGATATGGTTTTTTATGTATGGACTTTAAAATCCAAAATCATTTCAGTATTATTAGACATAATTCCAATGAGACAGGATGTTATTATTTTATACTCTTGCGGCTCAGTTGAAGCAGTTCACTTAAAGAGTACTATTAGACTTGATTCAAATGGGACAGGATGTGATTATTTTATAACCTTCTATGATATTAAAATAGCGCTTCCTCAGAACTTGTTCTTCCTTATAAAGTACTTCAAGCTCAGCAAGTTGAGCTGCTTGCATCTTCAAGATGGCAGCAGTTTGTTCATTCTTTCTATCAATGTCCTGAAACCACATAAGAACTTTGTTAGAGTTTTATACAATTGATCAGTTTTGAGAAACCAATCCATATAAAAAAATTAACCAACCAAACATTTTCATTCAACAAAAATATATGCTGAAAAACATACCTCTCTCATTTCTCTCAGTTCCTCTAGTTCCTTCACATTATTTTGCAAGGTGGCCAAATCTGCATCACGAATTGCAAGATTCGATTTGGTAACAGCTAATTCTTGTGTTACCCCTTCAAGCTTCTTTTCAAGTTCAACCACTTGAATTTTGAGGTTTTTGCGTTCTAGCTCCAAGTTTTTCTCTAGAAATTCCATCTGTGGTATAATCCCCATGGGAGTCAATACGTCATCGCGTGAAATTAGAATTCAGAAATAAATTGTTGAAGAAAGTTTAAAAATTTTTTACCTCTTCAACTTTCTTTCTTTCAATCCTAGATATCTTCTGTTCTAGCAACATCTTTTCCTCTGTCAATTTTTTCATACTTTCTTTGGCCACACGTAACTCTTCATTTTGCAGTTTCAAGTCACCTTGAAGCTTGTGCAATAGCTGTGTCATTCACAGTCCAAAATGATTTTTAATCAAAAAACCAATTGAAGTTCAAAGCTGATTCTTAAAGCCATATATTAATAAATTAAATCTAAATTTCATAGGATACATATATTTGCAGAATTCTACCTGACTATTAGTTCCAAGCAAATCTTTCTTGGCATTATTCTCTGCAGCTAGGTTACCAAGAGCGGCCAACCTCATTTCCATGTTTCTCTTTTCTAATAATGCATCCTATATATGTATACATAAATCAGAGCTACTCAAAACTGATAAAAACAAAATGATTAACAAAAGTGTAACATCCCACATATGAGGAATAAGGAAAAATGAAATGGTTTATATAGGCCAGCTAGTAAGTGTTCAAATAACTTGGGTTAACCATTTTGGCAGTTGTGCCGTAAGATAGCAGGGTATTTGAAGCCAATATTGGTTTGGGCCACTAGAAATGGGATCAGAGCCACCCTGCACATAAGGTTACAAAGCTGGTGGACATGAGGAAAAGGCGATATATGGGTCTAGAAATCACGAGATGGAGCTGTCAAGTTTTGACAAAGATGTGGGACAAGATAAAAGGGGAGAGCGTGTAACATCCCACATTGGAGGAATAAAGAAAAATGAAATAGGCAACAAGGACGTTGCAAGGTAAAGGGGGAGAAAGTGTAACATCCCACATTAGAGGAATAAGAAAAATGAAGTGGTTTATATAGGCTGGACTGTTACAAAAAAAGGCTAATGCTACAAAAGTTGACTGCACTAACTTGAAGAGCTGCATCCTTTTCGGCACACATTGATCTAAGTCTATCCCGATCAGAAGCAACTTCTATCAAGTTTTGCTTCTCAAATCTCAATGAATCTTTCAGGCCCTCCAATTCTTCTTGCAACTTTGCTTCTTGCCTTTGCTTCTCTCGCAATTCTTCCAATAACTAGATCAACATGTTTAGCTCATTAATATCATTTCATTATTAAAAAAAAAACAACAATATAAGACAACTATTTTTAGTTTTTACAAAAGGTTTTCACATCTGCAACACACAGAAATTATTAATAATTAGCACTTGACTTAAAAGTAAAACAATTACATATGATACCCAAGCTGGAAAGCCCAACAATAAAAATGTCCAT